CGATGCTCTTTATCATGAGTATTTCTGGAACAGCCACGTGACTCATAATGGAAACTCAGCTCCAGAGAATTGGATCCCTGTAAACGTTTTGGTAAGTTTGTTCCCACTCCTGGCCACCCAGCTGAGCAGAGATTTTTGAACAAACCACGATAGAGGCAGTTTGCCACAATCCAGTTTTCCAAATACTTCAGTAAGTTTTTAAGGACTTCCGTTTAGATGAAGAGCACAGCCCAAAGACCAAATAGGTCAGAGAAATGCACAGGGTATCATATGTCTGGAGAGGATCACTAAATCAGAATGGAAGCTTATTTTTAAAGCCGTTGGATGAAAGTCTCCATCGGCTTATTTAATATTTCATAACAGCATCTAAAAGTCTCTAAAAACCTTTTGCCCAGTTTCACTTTCTGAAATGTAATCATTCAAATAGCCTCCCCACTCCACATCCTCTGCCTTTGTGTGTTTTTATTGTTAGCAACTGTGGAGGTTTAGAAAGAGACCAGCTAAAACTTTTGGACGGTCATCCACAAAAACTTCTGTGATGATAAATTAGTCAAGGAGCCATCAGAGTCTTGGCTGGTTTTGCTAGGAAAAACTATCTTTGGCCCTTGTGGCTATGTTCTATGGTGCAGTGTGTTGCAGGAAAAACTTTTAAAGTAATTAAAAATAAATAATAATTGGTCCGGTGTGAAAAGAAAAAGATGAAAAGAAATGTAAAAGGTCTTCATACAGTGGCTAGACTTGGGTCATTGTCTTCACCCCCAAGGCAGGACCAGAACCTATGGATTGAAATTCCCTGGAAGTAGATTCAGGTTGGATTTTAGGAGGAAAATTTCCTGAAGATCAAAGCTGTCAACCGTGAAAGAGGTTGCCTTTTGAAATGGTGGATTCCCTTTCCCTGGAGGTCTTCAAATATATGGCCTTCAAATATATGGTTGACCAGAGGGTTAGACTAAGTTATGACCGAGGTGCCTTCCAAGTGTATAATTTGAAGGAAAGGAAAGGAAAGGAAAGGAAAGGAAAGGAAAGGAAAGGAAAGGAAAGGAAGGGGGGGGGGGAAGGAAGGAAGGAAGGGAGGAAGGAAGGAAGGGAGGAAGGAAGGAAGGGAGGAAGGAAGGAAGGGAGGAAGGAAGGAAGGGAGGAAGGAAGGAAGGGAGGAAGGAAGGAAGGGAGGAAGGAAGGAAGGGAGGAAGGAAGGAAGGGAGGAAGGAAGGAAGGGAGGAAGGAAGGAAGGGAGGAAGGAAGGAAGGGAGGAAGGAAGGAAGGGAGGAAGGAAGGAAGGGAGGAAGGAAGGAAGGGAGGAAGGAAGGAAGGGAGGAAGGAAGGAAGGGAGGAAGGAAGGAAGGGAGGAAGGAAGGAAGGGAGGACGGAAGGAAGGAAGGAAGGAAGGAAGCAAGGAAGGAAGGAAGCAAGGAAGGAAGGAAGGAAGGAGAAAAGGGGAAGGGAAGGGGAGGGGAGGGGAGGGAAGGAAAGGAAAGGAAAGGAAAGGAAAGGACAGGGCGGTGGGAAGGAAGGAAGGAAGGAAGGAAGGGAGGAAGGAAGGAAGGAAGGAAGGGAGGAAGGAAGGAAGGAAGGAAGGGAGGAAGGAAGGAAGGAAGGAAGGGAGGAAGGAAGGAAGGAAGGAAGGGAGGAAGGAAGGAAGGAAGGAAGGGAGGAAGGAAGGAAGGAAGGAAGGGAGGAAGGAAGGAAGGAAGGAAGGGAGGAAGGAAGGAAGGAAGGAAGGGAGGAAGGAAGGAAGGAAGGAAGGGAGGAAGGAAGGAAGGAAGGAAGGGAGGAAGGAAGGAAGGAAGGAAGGGAGGAAGGAAGGAAGGAAGGAAGGGAGGAAGGAAGGAAGGAAGGAAGGGAGGAAGGAAGGAAGGAAGGAAGGGAGGAAGGAAGGAAGGAAGGAAGGGAGGAAGGAAGGAAGGAAGGAAGGGAGGAAGGAAGGAAGGAAGGAAGGGAGGAAGGAAGGAAGGAAGGAAGGGAGGAAGGAAGGAAGGAAGGAAGGGAGGAAGGAAGGAAGGAAGGAAGGGAGGAAGGAAGGAAGGAAGGAAGGGAGGAAGGAAGGAAGGAAGGAAGGGAGGAAGGAAGGAAGGAAGGAAGGAAGGAAGGAAGGAAGGAAGGAAGGGGGGAAGGGAAGGGGAGGGGAGGGGAGGGG